TGGAACAAATGTTTATTTGGTATAAACAGGTCATCCGGCGAAACAACAACGCCATATACGTCTGTTGTTCAGAAATGTGAAGAGAGTATCGAAACTTTTGAGACCTTCGACTTTTGACTGAATAAATTGTCTTGACTCGGGCATATTCTGTTCTAACTCAAATACTGAACTAAACAAATAAGTTCATGGTACAGTAAAGAGTATATCACTTTGTTACAAATAAGTTTTGATAGAAAGTAGAAAGGGGACTAATATACCCTTTAAACCTCCTATATGTACTATTACTAATTGTCTATTTGTTATAGCATCTAAAACGTTTTATAAGAGAATGTAAACATTTCATTTTTTATATAAAAAAGATGTAGGGAATGTAGGCTATCATACATGCACTTGAATCCATGATTGGTTTCAAGACACAACTGTAAGGACATAGCTGTTGGAACAATTGATGTCATCTATCGAATAAATTACTATGCAAACTTTGTAAATCAAGTGATGCATTTAAGACTAAGTATATATTAATTATGGTGACAACGCAACTGGTGACAACTGGAAAAATATCAATGAATTCATTCTCAGACATTATTTGTGCTTTTCGTAATTTTCCCCCATTCTTTTTGAAACTAAAATAAAATATATAAGCTAACTTAAAAAAAAAGACAAATACAATTATTTTATATGTAGACTTTATCAGTCTTCTTGTGTATACGAATAGATCTACATAGGAGAAAGAGTTATGTACGTCCAGAAAATGCATATTTTGATACGGTTAACCGAATAATCGGTCGGAACGTCTTGCAATTAACCGATTGGCAATTCTGTATTCGATTGCCATCTCTAGTTTTAACCTTAATATTTCCCAGATGTAGCTTAGTTGTGGGGTGAGCCATGGGTCTGCCAGCAGTGCCAGTCGCCTGAATTTGCCCCACTGAAATCTAAATAAGGAGTCTGCAATGAAGTTTTGTTTTATTGGGATATATAATAATTAAAGGCCTTAATACAGATACATGTATTTGATTTTAGGCATACGTGTATAAACACAAGCTTGCAGACAATATTCATGATCCTATCAGATTTAGACATTAAGTTGTTTATCATATGGAGATATGACATATTGTCAATGTGAAAGACAAGTCTTGATTTGCAAAGTGGCTCTGCCATAGTATAATAGCGATCGCGTCTGGGAAAAGTTAGAGGAGAGCGAACCCGAAGAGAACCCTGCGCGAACTCGGGTTTGCTCTGGTGTTAGGTTGTGCCCAGTCGGTAGTGTACGCACAGAATTTGTAGGTCATAGCATCATTAGAAACATAAACTTGTAAATCCCGGTGAAATTCAAAACTTATCGATAACATTATAACCAAAATATTTTGTTCCACAGAAGGGTTTTCACTTTGGTTATATTTTTCATATAAGTATGTAAAAAACACTTTCCAAAATTATATGTCAGAACCTTTTTTTGGTTCCCTCTCCTCTTGAAAGAAATCTACCATAGATATTGATACATAAAAAGGAAAATTAGAGCAACTACTCCAAGAACTACCTGATCTAATCTTGAATATGATCTATTCAAAAAATTGAATATATTACTATGTTTTTCTTATTATTCAGTTATATTTAAATGCGAATAATCAACTAATTCCATACCATCAAAGCGTTATCTGTCAAGAATTTAAGGAAGAAGCAAGTTCGAAAAGATTTACCATAAGTAAATACATGAGTGTATATAATTTTTCTAAAGACTTGAATCAAATTATACATGTAAAAAAAAAAGCGTGTATGTGTTTTTGTGAATATCAATAACTTTATCGTTTTGTTATTTTACAAAACTTTTAATTTGTAAATCCGGTTCTTCCTGTGATCCAGTTTTAACGCATCCATCCATAAATTTTATCAAGGCCTTAGCTGTCGCAGCCAATCAGATTGCCACGCAAAGCATCCTATTTCTATCCGTCTTTATTTACTCGGAGTGCTGCCGCGATATTTTCATTGAAAAAATGCAACCAGCATCTCCACTCCATCGCCAACTTTTTTTTTAAATTTACAGATTTTTTTTTTCATTTAATTTTCCGGGGGCCTTTTTAATGCATCACTTTTGTTTTCATTAAAGTTTGATAGTTTTGTAATCATTTATTGAATTGCATTTCTGGTCAAGCTTTCCATGATTCTGTCTCCCAGCCAAATTCTTGTGTAATTCTTTTCATAAATAGGTTTCATTTTTCTTCATTTAAGCAAATGACAAGATAAACTAGTTGCTTTGTTGCCTTGGTCTGCCAGTAAAGTTTTAACATAAATGAATATGCTGACGCGCAAAATAACGCAGCAAGCAGTAAACGTTAAATGTTTGAATTTTTAATCTAATGATTTTCAAAAAAGAATACAGTTAGACTAAAATCACTTTCAGAGCATCAGAGATTTGATAACAATGTTAAATCTTTTAACTTTACTAAGTAACATATGATTCTTAAACACCCTCTCCAAGTCATTCAGTTACAACGTGCAAGACTGCCGTAAACAACAATTACAGCTAAATTTCTACGATACAATAGGTTCAGCAATATCGGGATCTTAGAGAAGGAATTATTCTTTGCCATTTCTAAATGCCTGTTTTTCAGATGATAAGGTCGAATATTCTCTAACTTAACGCACTGAACCAACCCTTGGACTTCCAGTCAAAGAAATATCATATATGCATATGATACTTAAGACCCCATTGAGGGGTAATGTTTGGTATTTTTGTACCATCAACTCTCCATCACTTTTACTTTGAGATTTACCAGCTCGAGCAATGGAAATGCATACTTAAGCCATTTTCCAAGAAGCCTATTCATCGTTACGGGAAACGAAAAGAGATTTTATTGATTTTTTTTAAATAGTGTTGCATTACTTTAGATGAACAGTACAATCTCTTTAAAACTCCATATTATTGCAATTTTTTTTTTTTTTTTTTTTTGTTTTGTTAAACTTGCGATTTTTTATTTCTATTTAGCAGACTCAAACTTGACTTCCGGTTATGGTATGAAAATCGTTCAAACGTTAACGTGGAACCAACGTCGTATGACATCATAACTAGTGAATGTATTTAGCCTGTGCTAGATCCATTATGACGTCATTATAAATTCAATGTCATTTCCCATACTTTAGAGCTCCAGTATAGAAATGGTAGAAAATATTGCATTTTGAAATTCACAAAATTCAATTTAAAATCAATCCGAAATAATCTTAATTCTATTTATACATTTTTTTTCTAATTTAATGCTTACATGTAATGACAAAATATTTCTTGAATTAGAGAGATTTGTAGGCACCTTTCATTTAATAGATCCTGACCTTAATTAAGTTGACAAAGCCAAGACTATATTGTGTGATGAAATTACAATGCATACAACTTAACTTACTGTAATAATGTAGATGGTATGTAACTTTGAAATTTTTAAGGAATGCAAAAATCCTTAAAAAAAATGGTATGTTGCCAACGAAATAGTGTTACATCTTGATGAAATGTGTCAAAGTCAAAGATGTACGTGTTGTATATTGTGTGTCTATATTGTGATATTTATCATGAAATGATGTAATGATGTGCATTCCTTTTAATTATTATTTGCTACTTATTCATATTATTGAAGTTTTATTGATCTTTCAAATTATAAGTACAAGTTTTTTATAAACATTTTTAATTTGAAAGTAACCCCAAACAGTCATTTAATAATAAAATCCTTGTAAGTGAAAAAAAGGTCAAGAATATAAGCATCGGTCAATAACCTATCTCTCATTAAGTAGAGGCGAAAGGTATATATTTTAATCACTTTTTGTAATCATTTAGGTATGTTCTTTATCATATTAAAGATTGAAAACATTGTGACAAAGACTTTTGAAAAATATTTACAAATGCTGATGGTGGAAAACTTACTGAAAATAAGAGTTAATCTGCCTATAGTTTTGAAAATTTGGACTTTTCTTTTATGTTAATTAAATAAAAAAGAATTTATTTTCGGAAAATATTGTTTAATACTGTTCAATCAATAAACAAAAACAACGATGTTTACAGAAGTAATTTTGGGATTTTTTGTTTACTTTGCATGACAAGTACCCCTGAAATGATTGAAATTGTGAAGTTGCAATATGTAATTATCAGTCCTTGTTTAACTGGCTGCACTACATTAAAAACAAAGAAACATGTCATGTGCTTTTAATTGATTGATAAGAAAGTGCTTATTTATCATTGTGAAAAGTTTGAAAATCTTGTGACAAAGACTTCTCCGATATAGGTTCTACCTTAAATTACCGATATTAAACATTAAGCAAATATTAAACAAGGATATCCATAGTTTTAAGTACACAATTCTTAACTGTACATAGTCATTTCCCCCTAAAGTAGGTGTTGTGCTTCTTTTGCTTTTCCGTTTATATAGCGACACGCAAGTTTTAACGCCACGCAATACAATATTAATCTATTAAAAAAAATACTTTTTAATCTTTATGGATGACATTTATCTTAATTTTTTGAAATTCAAGATTCAAATAACATAAGTTTGTCTTCTGCCTAAAAATTGAATGATTTGTTAAATTGGAACATCTCTACGTCCTCTGAAACTTTACAAATTCCTCTATAGATGAATCTTTGACAAAATGAAAGGTAAGGTAAACTATGAACTACATTCAAAATGATTAAAGATAAGGAAAGGTACATATTGAATAAATAAAATTTAAAAAGAAAAAAAATTGTTGCTGATTGCACAATTTTCAAAAGTAGCTTAGAGATAAACAATAACAACCTTTTCATAAAAAAAAAACAACCCTTGAACCTCTTCTGCTTGCGTTAATAATAAATGAACTGTAGTTTCAAGCACAAACTTAATAACAAGTGACCAAAAGTTGTATCTTTGACATTTTCAGTGGTAAATTTCCCCATTAGAATAAATGTATATAGATTAGAGCAAATTCCATATATATCGGTTTGCGCTGAAAGAGAATACATTTTAGATTTATGCGAGCAGAACGTGTAAGTTTCAGAATGTCCATAAGAATGTTAAGCTTGGGTTTTCTTGTCTTCTGGGTCCTGATTGACTGTTGTCATTGCGTAAGTTTGATCTTATTTCATCATCGCTTAACATATTTTTTTTTTTATTTTACAATGTATTATGTATGCAATATATTTTCCACAAAGAAACGTTTCCCATTAGTTGTAAGTGAATATAATTAAAATATTACTTACAGCACATTCAGAAATAACCATCTGACCGTTTTGACATGTTTACTGAATGAACATCTAACCTTAAAAGAAATTATATATAATTTCAAAGCGCTGGGTTAATTTGTAAAAACAATACTTTTTAATAACACATGACATAAATAGTCACATTCTTATGATTCCAATGGCTAAATTTCTTTTATTTGTTCCAATATGTCTCTACTTTTGGAAAATTGGATTTTAAAGATGACTATAAATTTGAAATTTTCCTCCTCTATGGCATTTTTAGAAAGGAGAGTATTGCTTTTTTTTTTTACTTTTTTCTAAATGACAGATTTCCAAAACAATCCGAGTTCTTGAAAAACCAAACATAAGGCCGCTTTATTTCAATGCATCGGTATCACCAGGGGAGAACAAAGTAACTGTGAATGGGAGATTGATGTGCCCCGAAGACACAAACGTATCTTTTTTTGAATATTATGATGGAAGACTTATCAGATTTGACAAAGGTAAAATTATTTTTTATCTGTTCTTCGAAAAGAACTGCTACAATGTAAACTTATAACAATGCAAGGATGAATGAACTTCTAAAATGTGCATTTTTATGAACTATTGATTTTTAGCCATGAAAATGATGGAAGTTTATTAAAATTATACGGCAGAACCAAATTAGATATAAGTAAGAATATTGTTTAAATAATTAAGTTTTAGTATATTTTGTTAGATATTGTCGCTAAAAGAGGACATTATATGTTGCGAAAAATAATTTCTTTCAACAGACTGTAACAGATCGTTCATGAAAACATGGTTATGTTTACCTATTTCTTAATCATTCTTTGCAACAAAAAGGATCAAAGGACTGCAACAGAAAAAAAAAATGAAAACTAGAGATACTGTTAGCAAAAAAGTAATTCCCGCAAGAGTTTAAAAATATCATAAATGGTTTGTTTCAAAGTCGCGTTATTTTGACAGCATAAGGTAAATAATCATACCTGTGGTAGATGTTATGTTAGTTAATGTTTTGAGCATAATTATGTTTTGTTTCAGTTTTGAAACCCTTTTATTTACAGTGTTGAATGCAAAGGAAAATACTACAGAATGTGAAATAGCTTTGAATTATGATGCAGGAAGATATAGACCATCATTTTGGGTCAGATCAAAATCTACATCAGAAAGGCTCCTTATCTATGTGAGCATGAATGTAAATAACCATTTACAGACTGATTTTTCCGGAACAGAGTGTTCAGTTGGTTTAGACAGGTCCACACATAAAAAGACAATCAAGTACATTTCACGAATTCAGAATTGTGACCAGAATCCTCGCATTCGGGAGACTTTTTCTTTTTCGCTTAGAGTATCTGGAAAATTTAGTTCATTAACTTCAGACGTATACTGTTCCGATTTCAAATCAAAGTCAATGAAATATTTCAAATCTAGATGTTCATCGGAAATGTCCAGTGACCCCTTTTACATTGAGTTCTATGAAGATAAGATGGCCGCCGACAATGTTAAATTATTAGACCTCAGTTACAGTTTTCAGCCAATGGAAAGTTGTTCTATAGCATGCGATCCAGCTAACAGGCGTTGGTGGTTCATGCCCGTGGTAAATTGTACTAAAGCATGTGTTGTAGCCAACAAGCGATGGTATTTCTCAATAATTTAGTTTAGTCAAATATGTTTATGTATATGTGTACCTAAAATAAAGTGCAAACTTAACACTAAAATCCTTATGTCATTTTTTTTTCATTTGTAACTAACAAAAGCATTTCATTGGTGAACATCATAAAAACAATATCTTTATAAAGATATGAAGACGTCTTACCAATTTCGTGGTCAACATTGATTGAAACAATCCAATTCGAAAGCAGAGCACATACGGACGTTGATAAGAAAAAATGTTTGATCAGATGCCAAGGATGAGTAACCAAGAAACCAATTCGTATATATCAATTTTATAGATAGTTATAATATAGGTTATATCCTTTAAAACTGCATATACTGACAAAGGTTAAGAACAAGTTTAAATGGAACACGATCCACACACCCGTTGATACTACAAGTACCTTAATTCTTACTTATAAAAGAGATAGAAACATAGTGAAACGATAAGAAACGAAGTCATCTAATTACAGGTAAAGATTTACAAAATTATTGAAAAGAAGTCCAAAGACATGGGACTGTTATATTCTATTTAAAAAGACGTAGACATATCACTTGGGATTTTTATCAAAACCTTTATCTAAATTAGAAGTCCTATCAGTCCATAGTAAGTAACATTGCTTTCATTCAGTTTAATGCAACAAAAATTTTCCAATCGCCCCCCCCTCCCAACCTTAAAGACTTTTTAATGTTTTGAACTTGCCTAACACATTCTGAAATCATATACCAATTGTTTTAATTACCATATTGTGAAAGTGAAATAAAAATTTACATGCTTTTGATCAAAAATAGGGAGAGCTATTTCTAACTGACCAATACCGTCCATACGTATGTTCATTTAGAACATGTCCTAAAATATTGTTATAGCATGGTTGATATTGTTTGTAATACACGTAAAGCATATATGTGATAAAGAAATTTAATATTCGGTATTTAATGATTATGGATATAAAAGACCGTGTACTGCAGTTCACATTATATTTGTATTTTTTTTAAATTTGGATAAAAGACAAATGACCCTTTGTAGTCTAAAAAGTAGTTTTACAAAAATAATTAAGCCATCCTTGGAATTATGACGGGATATGAAAACTTACATCAATTTTTGAATGCTTTTATTAGGGGTCAATGACTTCAATATGGTTTTTATTATGTCTTTATTTTCAAATAAATGTATATACATACATGCACAAGAACAGCTTCTCTTCGGTTGTAATTAATTCGAACGTTCACTATTTAAGTTAATGCAGATTTGTTAAGCTACTGCTTTTATAAAAAAAAAATTACAATCAACATTTTAAAAAACACGCTTATAACAAAGTGGTAGGAACGGACGATTTTGCTTCATTATAAGCAATATTTGTTGTACAGTCAATCACGAATATATAAATTTCAGGGAGCTAAGATGCCGTTTTGTTTTAAATGGATTTCGTTTTATCTCTTAGCTTCATCATCAGGAAATAAAGATTATTTTATTATAAGCTTTTATTTTGTTTTGAGCCAATTTGCTTTAAACATGTTTTACTGTATCCATTATTATCACAACATATTATAAGTCAGGTATGAATAAAAATCATAACTTCATCAGCACATATTCATAATACACGTGAGCGTGCTCAGTATAAGCGTGTTTAACTGTACTCTGTTTATCAAAGCAGCAAAAATAAAAATTTAAAATCATTGTAAAAGTGGGTCAAACTCCAAGGTAAAGTTCAAAATTTTTAATTTGGTGGTAACCAAAAAAAGGTTTTGTTACAAGGAATAAAATGAGAAATATGAAAGTCAAGGCTCCGCTTAATCCAAAGTTCTAGGTAAGGTTAAAGTACTGACAGACAGACGAATGAGATTAAATATGCAAATTTAAAAAAAGGGGACAGTAATACACTTTCCTATAGGGTAAAAAATAAATAGAATCCAAATGACAGCATATAGCTAGATGCCCGGGAGATGCACCTTGACATTCCAGTGTTAAATTCCATCAGAATCACTATGCACAATTAACGTTACAATCAAAATTTGTCATTAAAACAAACTTCTGATTTGTTACAAGGTGCAAGCAAAATATTCCAATATGCTAATGACCAATGTTTGTCTTACTCTCTTCCTTATATTCTTTTATTATGATGCTTGCAAAATGAACTTTTTTTTAGGAAAAGCTTGCCTATATAAGTCATGAAATTGTCCAACAATTTGCATTTCTAGAATCATTTGATTTATTTGATTACCTAACATTTTGAATCCATGATGTAGATATTTTGAGAACTTTGATTCACCATTAAAATACATGTTATAGTTTTCACGAGTAAACAATTATCCATTGTTATATAAATAAATTAAAGAGGAAGGTACCAACGAGCCATGTGGTGTTGGTTTTCTGGAAACGTGTTTTTGCATTTTTATGGTGGCATATTTATGCCGTACACATAACTTTTTGTTAACATAGCATATCATGCCAGGTAAGGATAACTATCACGTCAAGACATGATAACTTTCTGGTTTGTTGACAGACATCGACTTTATATCTTGTCCAGTGAAGATAAGCTATCACTTTTGTTGCGATAGCTAGCTTGACATGACGAGATAACTTATTTTGCATCGTGAATAAAATAGTTATCGCAAAAATATGATTGCTAATCTTAAATGGACAAGATATAAAGTGGGCATTAGTCGAAAACCAAGCAAGTTATCATGACTTGAGAAATAGTTATCTTGATTTGGCATGATATGCTATGTTAACAAAACATTATGTGTATGGCATAAAAATGCCACCATACATTTTACACATGTACATGTATTATAAAAATACCAAAAAAATAATAAAAAAAAAACATATCTTATGCGAAAGTATGGTGGCATGTTAATGCCATTCACATAATTTTTTTGTCAACATGGCATAAGTTAAGTCAAGACAACTATCTCGTCAATTGCAAGTCATGATAGTTTTCTTGTTTGTCGACAAACATAGACATGATATCATGTCCAGTCAAAATAAGCTATCACATTTTGTTGCGATAGCAATCTTGACATGATGAAATAACTTTAAGTCACGATACAAGATAAATTTTCTCATTTTGTTGAGATAACTTTAATTTCGCAAAAATACGAGATAGTTTTCTTGTCTCGACATGATATCCTATGTTGACTAAAAACTTATGTGGATGGCTTAAATATGCCATCATACGTTAATGATGCAAAATCACATTTAAATTGCCAGGCTATTTGGTGTAATGAGAGTATATGGACTGCTGTTTAAAATGATTCAATATGTTGAATATATAAAAATACTCATAAAGAGTGCTACATGTAAGACTTTAGCTAGAAAGATATTAAAACAAGAATGAGTCTGATCTTTTACAATAATATTTTTTATATATATGATACAGCTGTTTATATGTAGAGGATTTAAAAAAAACAGTGCTGTTGTCCAATTCTGTAAAGTTTTTACTTGAAAGATGAAACATTTTGTTTTGATTAAAGCCGTATCTTCTACTCATACATAGTTAAATTTCTGATACAACAATACATTTTGCGGTTTGGAGTAACTTCCTTGAAGAGTTATTTCTCTTATTAGAAGGACATTATACCTCAAATGAAAAGCAATGCAGACTTTCATTAAACAATTTTATTGTAGAAATTGTCTCTCTTCCCGGATGGTTGATTGATCAAAGCTGTTTAATGCCGAGTCGGAAATATTTTAGGTAAATGTATGTGAAAAATTTTAAGTGATTCTACTGGTTCTTATCATTAGTTTGTTTTTCTTTTTTTACACTTGAAGGGTTAGGGCTAGGGATTTCATACTTCACATGTGTATGTTTCTGGCAAGACTTTTCAGTAGATACCAATAACTTTCATCTTTTGACTTTGACCAGGTATAAACAATACATTTTGAAATCAGAGCACACACAGACATTGATATTGATAAGAATAAAATATTTGATCAGATGTCATGAAGAAGTCAACAAAAGCCAATTTGTAGACTTTTATAGATTTTTTTTATTAAAGGTTATATTTTCATACATGTTAAATTGGTGGCAAAAATTAAGAGCAAGTTAATTTAAAACTTAAATCTTATTTATAATAGGAAAAAATAATAGATGAAAATTCAGTTTATTTTCGTATTGATGTATTTATACATGTATCATCGTTGCTTCAAAAGCCTATCCTCATTCGTCTAACTGAATCTACTCTGCCTTTAAAAAAAATGATATCCAAAAAAATATTTTAACAAAATCTGACAAAAAAGTCACTTCAACTTGATAAATTTATACAGGATTTTTAGATATTTGTGTCATTAATAGTTATCTCTCTTATCAGAGTTTCAATGTACCTTAAAGTTCCTCAAAGGTATTGTAAAGAAAGAACAAGAAACAATCTTTAATTGAAACAAATATAATACAGATTTTTCGGTATTTTCAGCTTTATGGTCAGAGACCAGTAGAGCTTATGCGAGCGATAGTAATGCGTCGAACGTCCATGTGTCTGTCTGTATTTATGAAAATCCTATCCCCCCTACAGTTTCCGTTTGATCTCAATATACATATAACTTGAATAACTTGGCAAACATGTTGACTAAGATTCATAATTCGGTGTATCGATTTTTGAATTGGATGAAAGGAGTTGCCGTGGTTACTAAACTTTTTTTTGTGAAATACTTTGAGATCACTACTTCCTAATACAGATTAAGTCTTACTATCATATAATTTGGCATGCAAGAAGTACAATGTTTGTGTTTTTGTTTTTGATGAGCAATGTTGCCATGGTAACTAAAATTGAAAATTCGGTAAAAATCGAGCTACAGTCTCGACAGAGACTTCCGATACATAAGCAACTCTAACAAAATGGTCTTTTCTAAATTGGTCACTGAATAAAAATTTGACATAATGATTGTTAAATATATTCATATAAAAAAAGTATCACATTACAGTGGACCCTCATTTATCCGGACGCTTTGGTTCCCAGTCGATTTGTCCGGATATGTGAAGCATCCGGATATGTGAATCACCAGTT